CTCCATCTGAGGAGCAGATGTGATCACTAATAAAACTCTGACCCAGTTTTCTCCACTACAACAGCTTCACTTCCTCGCATGTTTCTGTCAAACATCCATGATCAGACCTGCTGACCTTTCACACCTCCAAGTCAAAACCTGTTTTCAACAGAAACAGGTCATAAATTAAATATGATGTGTTTGAACCAGAGAGCTCACATAATTTGATGTAATTTCATGGAAAAGCATCACTGATGTTCTGAGACCTATTTTACGGTAAACGGGTGTTTTTCTAACCACAATCTAGACTTTTTTGAATCCCTGACAGTTACTTTTCATGTGAAACTTAAAAAAACAAAACATTGTGCAAATCTTTAAGTCATAAAAACTCATATATATATATATATATATATATATATATATATATATATATATATATATATATATATATATATATATATATATATATATATATATATATTAGCTGAACTAATGGTGCTGCTATAGAAATCAATGCAAAACCTTCCTGCAACTGTGAGGCAAATTAAAAGAAGGATCTGACAATTATCCTTAGAACACCAGCAGGCTGCAAAGGCCAGGGTGGTGATTGATGGAAACCAGAGCCAGACGTGCATCTAACAGTTAAATTAATAACTGATCATTCAGACGATAAATCAAGTAAAAAAAAATAAATTATATATTCTGCAGATTCTTCATTCGGTTAATATACCTTATTCTACATCATATTAGAAATAGATAAAAAATATTTCAATTCATCCTAAAATAAGGAAATAAACATATTACTGCCTAAAAACATTGCAGTCTTTTACAGCATGCTTGATCATTTGTAGCAAAAGATACATATGCAGCTAAAAAGTACTTCTAAAAATGGAAAAATTTTAATTTCAACATGAAATTTCAATTTTTACAGAATTTAAACTGGGTGAAGTTAAGCTGCCACATGAAGAGATTTCTAAATCTTAATCGGAAAATCTGTGCTTTTTTGGCTTAATTACCGCTCAGAATATGTTGTCTTTTTCAGCAAACTAGTTTTTTAGTCTGTATATTCTCATTAACGATTAACCATTACTAAATTATTGCCGTTTACATTCCTTCACTACGATTAATCGTTTCACTAGCAGCAATACTCTGCTCAGGGGTTTCATTCAACACGATGTGTTTATATTCGATTAATCCCAAGAACTAACAGTTTATGCTGCATTTAATCGATTCTGAATAGACAAATAATAGACAGTTTGGCTCATGTCGGGGAGCTGAAGGCCCAGCATAAGGCCGGACGGGGACGACCATCTGCTCCGGAGCAGCAGGAGGGGAGATCGGTCTGAATCCTGAATTTTCCCATCTCCCCTCCGGCTGCTCTTTGCGTAACCAGAGGTTTTTTTTTTGTTTGTTTTGTTTGTTTGTTTTTAGACAGACAGGTTGTATTGATGCCGGGGCTTCTCAGAGATTCGTGCAGGTGGAGGCGATGACGGAGGGTGTCGTTTGTTTTAATTGGCTGCAGGAACAGCCCAGATCAATACGGACAATCACACCTGAGGGTGCGTAATGCTGTGATTTATGTCCACCTGCTTTGCACTCATCCGCTTCATTCTGCTCCGCTGAGAGGAAAGGGATCTGTGTGCATGAATGGACCGCAGACATGGAGCCAAAAACGCTCGGTGCACGCACGAGCTGCACGCACGAGCAGTCTGGGAGCAGGGAATCGGCTCTTTGTCCGAGAATGGGTAACACCAACTAATTACATTTATCCGTTTGCGAGTGAAGCTGCTGAGAAAGCCGTCCAGCCTTCTCACGACCCAGAAACCCTCTCTGGTTGGCTCCAGATTCAGCGCACACCAGTCTGCCTGGAAATGGGACGTTTTCAGGCAAACAGTGACAGAAACCAAATGAAATGACTGTCAGGGATCCCTGAGCCAATGATCAACATGTTGATGCCCGATAGGCTTCCAATAAAACACTAACTCGTGGGTTTATCGGCACTGGATGTGATGGAATGACAGTTTGAAATTCAGGAATAAATGAAAATAAAAATCCACATGTTGGTTTTGTGAAAGCTCCGGAGCCGCTTACCTTCACCGGGGCAGCAGCGGTCCTCGAGTCCGAGCGCAGAGCGAGGGAGGCCGGCGCGGCTGCCTCCGCTGCTGCCTCTCCTCTGGAGCGAAGGATGAATGAAAAGATGGAGGGATGTTTCCACCTCCACCGACCCGTTTTCCGCTCCCTCTCTTCTTCCAAACGTCTCCGCCGGTTAGTCGAGGCTGGAGAGGGAAGAGCGAGCGGCGATCCTGGATGGTAATGGCTGTCCTCCTCCTGCTCTCTCTCTCCACTCCCTGCCTTAAACAGCCCCCCCTTCACCACCAACAGCCCTCCTCTCCTCGACCAACGCTCCGTCTCTTCAATAGGCTGCGTTCACGGCTCCATCCCTTTAACCCATGCCTATTGACTGTGGTAAACGTCGCGGAAACCGAGATTTCGGGTGTACCCCTGCGTCATGTCCGCAGCTCTGCCAGAGCGTGACGCGCGCACACATTCCCCCCTCAGTTTGGAGCAGAGGAGGGCGTTCACAGCGGAATATTTGCAGCACCGACTCATGCTCATATGTTCACAGTTACTCAGAAAAAAAGGGGGGGGGGGAAACTGAGCCACGCGTTTTCATTACATGATTCGGTTAATCTGGGTCTGAAATAATCCCTTTACGCTCACAGCTGGAGGAAAACCTCAAAAGGCGAATTATTGCAGCTGGAGGATCTGGAGTTATTCCTGTCTGTGTCCGCTCCCATTCTGCACCTACTTCTGGACCATTGGATATAAACAAAAAGGAGTAAATCTCCGGCAAAAACTTAGACATTTTTAGATTAATCTTAGAAATTGTCAAGAAAAAAAACATGAAATTTCTGAGTTTTTGAAACTGGGAAATTTTCAAAGTTAATTTTTTTAAATTTTCAGATTTTTTTCTTGCAAATTTTCTATTGCAATATATATATATATTATTTTTCTAGAAAATTTCCTAGATTAATCTAAAATTTCTTGAGTTTTTCTTGAAAATGTAAATATTTGAAAGAATAAACAAACAATAAAGAAAAGACAAAAAGAGAAAATAACTGAAACAAAAAGTCCAAGTAACAACTTTGAATCTGCTTAGATTGTAACCAACTCAGTGAGTGTTAGAGGGATCAGATCAGCAGAGCTCGGGTGTTTTGAACAACAGAGAATCATCTACAAAAATAATTATTTACATGTTATGTTTGGACCGTATGCCCAAGAAAAATCAAATAGCAGAAGAACATCAGGGTACCGAGGACAACGAGGTCGTCTGGTTACTGGAGAAATGTGTGGGGTTTTTTACATTAGCAGAATATTGACAAAGATTTGCACACACCCCTAATGGAAACTCTGTGAGATAAAATAATCATATTTGCACTGTCACAACCTGCTTTTTATATATAAAAAGGAAAAAAAATAATTGGATGTATGTATTATTTATAGTTACACCACATCTTATTTTCTTACATTTGTTTCCATTTTCTCTAAAGTTTACATGTTTATAAGGTCTGTATGCTGTGAGTGACCAAAAGTCAAAGACACCAAAGTCAAATCCCCAGGACTCGACCCCTGGCTAAAACAAATTAGCCAAGAAAACTATTTTTATTGCAGCTGTTCAACCGCATCACAACTCCTGGACCAATATCAGTTTATCTACCTGAACAAACAGACACTAAAAATCTGTGCAGCTGCATGAAACACAAGCAAAGTTCAAAGTTCAAACCTCCGTCGGTCCTGATTCTCTCCACCTTAGCTAATTATTGAGCTGATAATCCAGAGATGCAGACGTGAATTTACTTCACTTAAACTGCAGTTTGTGACCTTCAACGAATAATGAGGACACAAAATTCAATTTAGACAATTTAATCCATGTGATAAAAAGAACAAGAAATCATGAGATGCTGTAAATCATCTGCAGTGTTTCGACAATTATCTGCTATTTTTACTCTGAGCCACTGATTTCTCTCTGGTTTAGCCTTTGTGGCCTGATGCGATGCTTATGGGAAAAATGTTGTTTTGTAAGAATATTAATGAAGCACTGATGTAAAAATGTGGATCAATATCATAACCAATATTAATGTGGCTGTTATGGCCAATAACTGATATTTAACAAAATTATTTCCACAATTAAAAAAAAGACTACGTCAGTATCACTGTCACATGACCAACCACCTGAAACATAAACATGTAAATAAATATCACTTTACTTATCGGACTGATGCCGATATATTGCGAATCCCTATTAAATATGTAGAATTAAAAAATAAAACATTTAACACTTACATATTGCACATCTCAAACCTCCAAACTGATGAATTTAAAAGGCACTTTAGCTGCAGGTCAGTTATTTCAGCTGGACTCGAGTCCATTCCCAGAGCTTGTGGCGCCATCTAGTGGTGGTTCATGGACTCTGCTGGTTCTGATCGAGATGAAATGGATTCTACCTGCATGTAAAGCAGCATCCTGCATATGAACGATCGGCTCCGTCCTCAGGGAGAGATTACTCCCAGATCATTAGAGTCAACCAGACCGCTCAGCAGAACATCCACCTTCAGAACCGCAGATTGGACCTTTAATAATTCATCAGACGTTATGAATGATAAATCAATCTGAGGATGTTGTTGATGACAGCAGCTGATTTAAGAATCTGATGACTGTTCAGAACATGAAACATTTACAGGAACAAAAATCTAAATGGAAATTATTAAATTAATGTCAAAAGAAAGTTCATTAGAAACATAATTTGTAGCATGGCTTTGTTAAAAAAGGTGCTTTAACACATTCAGTTCCTTGAGATAACATTTGTTGTGAATTGGCTCTACATATCATAAATTGAATTTTTCTTGTTTTATTATCTGAAACATTTAATTATGACAAAAGAACAAAAACAGAATCTGATCCTACTGACAACATTTGGTTCATGTTTGCATGGAACAAGATGGAAAGACGACATTACAAGGACGGTAGGCATTAACATTTATTATTTGCACATTTTTACAGCGGAACAGGAAATGGTGAAATCTGACAGAAACTGAGCTGAGGTCAGATCCTTCATGGGTTCTGGTCGGGTTGGCCGGTGTGGTGAGCGGGCGGTGTGTACTTCCCCTCCTTTATCAGTTTGTCACGCTGCTCACGGATGGCGTGCATCCTCTGACGCTGCAGGGACAAAGAAAAGACGAGGTCAAAGGTGAAGATAACAGGATGAAAGGCACCGACTCCATGTCAGGATGCTCCTCAAACATGGAGGACGCAGAGGACCAGGATGTAGGTAACCTCAGATAAACAAGTTATATTTCAGTCAAAATTTAACAAAATAAAAAAATAAAAAAAAATAAAAAAACAGTGGTGGGACTCCATTAAAACATTTAATTTAGTTAATAGAAGGCTATGTAATAAATTGAAAATTATGCATCGACAAAATAAGCAACATTTTCAATTCAAGAACCGTTTTTGTTGCAATATTATTGAAAGAAATAAACTTGAGGGTAACAACAAATAAATGTAATGTTTTTAATCTGTTCTTCAACCATCAGACTGGAGCAAAGTTCAAAGTTAAAGTCTTTCAGGAACTCCTGATCATTCATGGAACTTCTTTAGAAACGTGGATTGTGGACGCTGACATTAGCATTAGCAACATGTTTAGTATTGATGCTATTTCAGGCTTGAATAGCTTTGCTAACTCCTTTCATGACTTGAACACAACAACAGTCTTTTCCTGCATCTGATCAGATCGGTTATGAAGCAGAAATGAAAAACCAGAGGGCCGAGAGAAACGGCTTCGTTTTCCATAACTGCTGTTTGTGGATGTTGTGCGTCTGATTTATGGTGTACAAGAAACAAAATACAAAGGTTCCGGCTTGGGACTTTTTACGTAAAAGAAAAAAAATAATTAACTGAATAACAATCACCAGATCAGCTCTTCATCGTATCGATGTCAAGGCGAGAAGAAAATAGTTTTTCGCTCCAGATGCATACTTTACTACAAATAATCAAGAGTTCACTAAGAGAATGCTTTATTGCAATTTAGTCAATTAAAAGTTTATTTAAAATTTTTTTATTGATTTGTTTATTTGCATCTTTTAATGTATTTGTAATATTGTATAAAGAGACTGGAGTGGCTGAATAAAACATCTGCTGAATGTACCACTTTTTTATCCAATTAATTATCTGAATAATTGATTACTAAAATAATAAATGTCCATATTTATTTGTATTTTTCCACACATTTGGAACGATTTCTAGCTTTTTAAAAAACGACATATTGTTTACCTGAGCTTTTATTGACCTCATTTAGCAGAAGTTCTGATTCTGTCCCAATACATCCGATACACGTCAAAGCTTTGATCATCTGGAGCTGAAGAGTTTACTACCAGAGAGACTCACCGTCTTCTTACGGTACATGCACTCAAAGAAATCCTCAAACTCCAGCTGGCACTCCTTTTTGGCCCGGATCTGGCCGATGCCGTGGCTGCACTCGACCCATTCCTTCTCGAAGGCGTGGCACCGCGCCGCCTGCTTGTACGGCTGCTCACCGCTCTGCAGCAGCATCCAGCGGTCTATGTTGATGCCGAGCCATGACTGGATGTCCACAAGCGGCATGATGCTGCCAACAAGAGAGTAAAACAAAAGATGGAGGAAAGGTTGGATGGAAAGCAGTTAACTCTAAAAAAAAAATCAAAATAAAAGATGATTCAGGACGTAGAACAATCTAGATCAGGAGCAGTTAGCCACAAAACAGGGGCTGACCAAAGAAAATAATGAAGGAACGAAGGAAGGCAGAAAAAAAGACATAAAAATGGTAGAAAAAAGAAACAAATAAGGAAAGATAGAAAGAGAAAAAGGAAGGAAGGCAGAAATAAGAAATACAGAAAGGAATCAGGAAAGACAGAGAAAGAAAGATTTTATTTTTAAAAGCCTTCATACAAATATTCAACTCAACTTTATGTCGACACATTCATAGATGAAAGTTCAGAATTATATAAACAGATCACCTTAAGAATTCCCATCATTTTGAAAAATGTTCATTTGGTTGAAATACTTATGTTCTAACATCACTCCAGTCTCTTTTCACACATTCAGTATTCTGTTATCTATTAATTTTACATCTTCAAATTGTCAACTTTGCTACACCAAGGAAAAAGTTAAATAACTGTCCTTTTTTCTTCTGTCATATGAAAATATAAAAAAATAAAAAGACTGTTCTTTGCATCTTTCTCCAAATGATTACTAAATATCCCTAATAGTCTAAATAAATCCGTTATTCTAATACATCATACGATCAGAGAAAAATTGTTTCTCTTAATGAACAAAAATGACATTTATCTGAAACAAAAGGCGCAGAGAAGTTTCCTAGACGTAGTAAAAAGACTTAAATGAACAAAAACAATTCTAAAGTGGGCGAATACCCGGAAACGGTAACAAAAGACTCTTTCTTCGGCTGCAGTGAAGATTTTTCCGTGTTAGCCAAGCGGCTAACAGATACATATATACATAAGAAGCTCGGGAATGTCTAGTCGACTTAAAACAAAAACGTTTATAAAATATATAAACATAAGGCTTTATGTAATGAGTAGCGTGGATCTAATTAGAGCGGAGAAAAGTTGATTTAACTGCAGCTACTGACTGAACTATGTCCATAGATTCTCCTTCAATGACAGTATGCTAATGCTATCGGGACCTAAATCCACACAAAAATACGATTTTATACCAAATAACTAAACTCGAATGATCGGCTTTTTGTATTAAATGCAACAAAAAGTCAAAGTAAAGCATTCAAACGTATTAATTTACCCTGTTTTGACGCTTTTATCCGAGTTACTTTAACCTTCCTCTGCTTTACGGCAGTTAAACACACGGCCCAGCCACAAAGTCGTTTTCTTCTGGGCTAATCACCCGGTTACGAGATGCAACAGCGCCGCCTGGAGGATCCGAGGTGTAGAAGCCGGTGACAAAAAAAACAACAAAAAACGCCCAAATTCCGTCCGTATTACCGTATCCCGTCCATCCATCCATCGATCCATGGATGGATGGATGGATCCATGGATGGATGGATGGATGGATCCATGGATGGATGGATGGATGGATGGATGGATCCATCCATCCATCCATCCATTTTCCTTACACCCTTTAAATCTACATTTTTTTCTTACTCTCCAATTATATTTTATTTGCCTGTTTTTGAGCATCTGACGAATTAGTAATATAAAGGATATTTTTATGTAAATTTTTTTTTATTGTTTTCATATTGTTTTTGTTATAATTGCATAAACTTTTTAACAATTGCAGGAAGAAGGTTTAAGCTCATTAACTGCAATTAAAGCTCAGGAAACCAAAAGTCCATACGGTATATCACTGACAAAACACCACTCCCACAGTGAAGCATGGTGGAGGCAGTATCATGCTTTTTAGACTTTGCCAAGGTTGATGAATTTATGAAGTTTCAAGGCCTGCAGATGTTTGCTACAAATTTTGAGATGGAGTTTAATTGTTATCATCCCAACGAGTCAATGTCTTAAACAAAATACACACAAAAATTCTAATGAATAAAATGTCTACACTCTCTGAGAAGTTTGGCAAGTCAATGGAGAAAAAACAGCTGATGTGAAGTTGTGCAGCAAAATCATTGTTTTTTATGGCTATTATAACAGACAATAAAACATGGCTTTGGTGCAACATAAAATTGTGTTTATTTATTCATTTCCCCCCCCCAAAAAAAACTCCACAGTCTCACAGTTCTGCATGTGCAGCCTCTCATCAGACCGAGGCTTTAACCGCAACAAGAACAAAAAACAAAACAAAACACAGTTCCTTTAGTTATAACACTTAAATATTGCTATCTATAAACCATTTCAAATAAAGACAGAACCACCTGTGTTCCTAAAGGGACGTAACACTCATTCGGACTCTTTCAGGAAGTCCCAGTTTTCCGTCTGTGGTACATTCGTTTATTCTGAAAGATAGGCAAAAAACAGTGACGTGTGTAGACAGAAACAGGACCGCCAAGTCACATAAGCAGCAGAATCCATAAAGCTACTCTGAGATGAAGAAAAAGGTTCCCGGGAACCTTTTCAAACAGAAGCACGGAGGTGATCCAAAGCTAAGAAACAGGTTAAGCTGTGACTGAGAGAAGCTTGCGGTTGGCTCCAAAACCACGTGTTCACAAGTTTTACTGGCTGACCAGAGCGACACAAAGTTATAAAAAGGAATGAAAAATAATAAATTATGTTTAGTTCTTGCATCACAGCATTAATTAAAAAAAGACACAAAAAAATACTGAGTGATAAAAGTTTTGGAGGCAAACGTTTCTCTCATTCCACCCAACAGAAAGGCTCCTTTTTTTGGTTGTACCACAGACTTTTGTTTTTCACTCAAGTAAACATGTTTACAGCAACAGATGATGTCAAGCAAATTAAAAAAGATAAATAAGACATTCAGATAAAGTGCACAAGTGCTCAGTCAAAAAAAATGACAAAGTGGATCGCACAAATACATTCATCACATGTTCTGTCATTCATGCACATAAAACTGGGTCAGACAGGCGCGATTTTACAAGGCAAGAACCAGCAAAACCAGTTGGGCTGTGCTGGTTAGTGAGCGTCCAGACTGGTACCACGACACGGACCAGAAACAAAGTATGGGAGAGTTCTGACAGACGAAATGTGTGGAAAGCAGCCGGACAGTTCAGATTCTAGCTAAAAGTCATTTTTATTGCATTATGTGAACAACCTAACCTGAAAAGTGAGAATTTATGATAAATTATTTAAACCAGCTGCTCAACAACATGTTCAAATAAGTTTAAGGTAAATGTTTCTTCCTTTAAGGGTTTCTTTTTGCTTAAAGAGTCTTCAGAAAGTTAAAACATCTCAGATAATTGGACGATTACCTAAAATGATATAGCAATACTTGATTTAGCAATAATCAATCATTTGCTCAATAATAACATTTTTCAATAAATTTGTTTGACTAAAGTAAATATTTCTGTACAAAAGTCTTTTGTTTGGTTTAGCGCATCTCCATTAAGGGTAAGTCAGAAGACATGAAATGGTACGATAGACGATACTGATAACCAATACCAATATTACAATACCTGTTTCAGCAATTACCGATAATAGTGGTCATCAATGACATGTTAAAATAGGTTTATTGCTTGTTTTAGGTAAATATTTCTTTTTAAAAGGGGAATTTTTTGGCTTCGAGTCTTCAGAAAGTTTAAATCAAAGGACACCTCTCAAAATGGCACAATATACGATTACTGATAACCGATATCAATATTACAATACCTGATTCAGGAATAATCAATAATTTGCTCACTAATGATATATTCAAAAAAAATGTATTGTTTGTTTTGTTTAAATATTTCAAAGGGAGTTGTTTTGGTTTTGCAAGTCTTCTTTAAGTTTAAATCAAAGGATACAAAACGGCATGATATACGATACCAATAATCAATAACCAATACTGATATTTCTGTTTCAGTCATGACCAATAATTTGCTCAACAATAACACGTTGAAATAAGTTTTTTTGAGTATTTTAGGTAAATATTTCTGTCTGAAAACACTTTTTGGTTTCATGAGTCTTCAGTAAGTTTAAATCAAAGGATACAAACAGCAACAGATACGATACCGATAACTGATATCGATATCTTTATACTTGAGAACAATCAATAGTTTCCTTTGTCCAGGCTGAATAGACAAAGGAAGAATCTGTGATTGTCACACTCTAAAGATACAGATTTATGCGATACTAGAAAATGTACTATTTTTATACTGGCATACTTTTTTAATTAAATAAAACTATTCAGTAGTTTTGCTACAAAAATTTTCAAACAATAAAGAAATTATAAAATCAGCTAAATATTTCTGGCTTTTTTTGTAGTTTCTACAAAAATTATCTTAGACTCAGAGACTTGGTTCAGATTTGTATAAATGTTTCTTTTGCTCTGAGTTTTTTTGGTCCATCGTCGTCAAATCTCTCAGTTGTTTGTTTTCTGCAGCGTGTGCGAACCTTTCCTTCTACCCTTCACTCCTTCCTTCCTTCTCTACCCTCCTCATCCTCTTTCCAGCAGGAAAAGTGACATCCAAGTGCGGCTTCATCCTCTAAAGGTAAACTCTATAAGAGAAACCCGCTGCCTTTTTAAAACCTCCAGGTGAGAAATGGCTCATGCAGACTCATGCACGATGCAAAAAAATTAAAAAAAAATACATTTGTTGATGGCAGAAACAGCAGAAGCAGAAAAAAGCCAACAGCTGTAAGTCTCAATTCAAACACACATCAGTTTCTTCACCAATCTGATTCTTTCTGCTGTGCTTGGTAACTTTCACCCCATGTTAACATTTCATTTGCGCATTTTTTCTTATAAATTTGTACTTTTTTGTTTCATTTTCTTTTTTTCTTTTTTGCTTAAGAAGCCAAGGCATTTTGCACCAAGGAGTAAACAACAAATCTCAGAGGTAGAACCCTGACCATTTACTCAGAAAGGAGGCTGGCCGGTAGATCGATAAGACAGACAGGAGGAAACAAACACCTGTCTGTGTTTCAGACCTTAAAGCAGCTGACGACAGATGACAGGAGGAAAAGGAAACAAAGTTTGAAGGTAAATGTTCAGGGTTTCGTCAGTTTTTGTGCAATCCTGAGAGCTGTGCCTCTCAGACGTACAAGATGACGTTGCTGTCTGCAGGACAGTGAAGGCCGTCGGTGGGGGGGTTCAGGGATCTGTAGGAGGGAGGCTGCAGCTGCTGGCAGCTTTTAGGATGAGGCGAGTCGCAGTCGTCCGACGTCAGCTCCGCGATGTCGTCCGACTGAGTGTCCGACATCTCCAGGTCGCTGCGGATGCTCTCCGGCTGGGCCAGGGTCACGTCTCTGAGCCCCTCCCTGATTGACGCCCCTGGCGACAGTCCCAAAGCCCCGCCCCTCCTGGAGCTGCAGTCCTGAGGCTCCTCCCCTCCTGAGGCAGTCGCCACGGCAGCAGAGCTCGGCTGTGGAGCTAGGTCCTCCTCACTGGTGAGGCAGAGATGGCTGGGTTTGGTCTCGATGTCCACCTGGATCTCCAGGTTGGTGCAGTCCCTGAGGAGATTTAAGACGAGTCAGTCAGCGTGAGGCGTAAAGATCTGACGTTCTTCAAAATCCAGGAATACAATGATATATTCAATTTATATCAGCCTCATTTTATATTCAAAACTGACAGCTCACTCTTCTTCATCAGACCTGTGGCTGTGCAAGACGCCCAGCTGCCCTGAGTTTTCCCCACAAGTAAGCTCTTACTAGCACTAAATTTTAAAGAATATGTTTCTCCTTTTAATACAAAAAGGCCCCAATTCCCAAAAACATTACAACTACATGAACTGCAGTGTGAAAACACGTTTCTTTTACATTGTTTACACTTTGCACAACATCCGTTTTCCAGAGAACAGACATGCAAATGAGCCAAAGAGTATTTAATGCTCATCTCTCCACCGCCAGTGTCTGAGCAGAGGCAGCTGAAACCAGGATGTTTCTGGAAATATGTGCAGCTTATGTTACTCTAATATAAACCAAAAATCTAAAATGAAAAGGTTGAACCAGACACCGACTTCTGGACCTCTTTGGTGCCAGTTTGCCAGCTGCTGTTTCAGGACTGACAGGTGGGGAACCTTTAGTCCCATCACTGTCCTTATTTTACACCAGTGAAAATGTTTCCGAAAAGCTAACTTTGTTCTTAGTGAAAGCTACCAGGATGCCGTTCAGCCAGCCAGTCAGTCATCCTCTCACCTGTCGGGTAAGGTGTAAGAGGAAATGATGGATCCGGCCATCCCTCGGGTGCTGGCGCAGTCGCTTCCTGCTCCCAGACTTCCCGTCTCTCTCTGAGCTGATTCCTTAGCCAGTTCCCCTGGTTGAACTTCCAGCCTGCAGGACGAAAACATCCGAG